TACGTATTGCTTAAATACGAAAAAATTCACCGTGGCCTCTGAATTATTTGTATATCTTAAGTTCTACTGTGTACCAGGTAGAATGGAAATCTTAAACTCAATGTGTGCTTACAGTCCACTACATGTCTGATAATTTCATACATAGGAAGCAATTCTTAATAAAATACCAAAGGTGATTTAAAGATTCAGTAGAAAACGTACAGACCTGTATTCGGAATGCTTGCCATTGATTCCACTCTTGTTGTTAAGCACTACGTTAACGTCGCTATCAAAACCAGGTTAAACTTATCATCCGACACAGTTTCCCAGTAGTCTTGGAGTTTGAAAATTCGGTTGGGTTTATATAGGCGTGACAGCTCAGGTATTAATTAGCTACAATGTGTACGTATATCCTGATTCTTGTGTGACGATGTCGCTTATAGAATACTGGTTGAAAGTTCAGTGTAATGCAGCTGCCGTACGCTTTCCCCATTGTGACTGAATACGTGTGGCGGCCATTAGGAACATGAAATGAGGGGAAAAGCAATTTTCCTTCAACTGCCGAGGAAATGGGCATATTTCCTATGCAATAGAAAGGATTATGAAAATTTAATGAAGTTGGCAAAGCGATTTTTCTATAACGCTTTTCTGCGATTACCGCAGCGGAGGCATTCGCTCTCGTTCCGGTAATTAGAAGCCTTGCAAATGAGAACTTGGGAGAAAATGCAGCTGTTCGCGCAGGGGACAAACGACGATGATCGCGCTGCTTTCCTGTTTTTCGCCCCGTAATTTTCTCAAGATTGCTTGCTGACACGCATTTTCGCGTTTAATGTCCAATGATGCCGTGTTGTAGGCAATTACTGGGCAGATGTAACGGATACTTAACTTTCTATCTTGCTCACTCTCAGAGGTTGTCTAATTTGGTTGGATGGAAGTAAAAGATGCTTGCTGTTCTCTTTCTTGAAAGGAGAGAGAGAGAGAAAACTTTTTTTCCTTCCAGAAAATAAAAATTCAGTTAAACAATTTTTTCGTAGTTTTTTCTAGTAGAAATCAACGATAATTTATTTAATTTCCAGATAAGATTGTTGTCATTTTATCTCAGAATACAGTAGATATACTAGAAAAAACCATTTAGAACAAGGGAACGAATTAATTAATTTATATTATCTTATTTGTACGAGGATAGGAGTAAGAAAGGCCAGTACGTAACCACATGCATTTGCACATTGGCTGTCAAACTTCAAAATTAATCTTTAACTACATATTTGTACGTATATATTTACCTCATGTGCATGGATATTTAAACAAACCAATTCAACATCTTGGCCATCACATTTTTTATAGCGGTTTAACTTGTTGATAAATTTAAAATGAAAAGAATCTCAGGTATCTCAGATTTACAACAACTTTAAAAGTTTAATGAAATAAGACGGAATATTTCTATTTCAAATCAAAGACCTGACGGGGAAGCTGACAATGACAGACCTATCCACGTCAGCTATTCGCCTGTTTCCGGATCCATTCGTGAGTCTCCGCCTCTGAATGTCTTTGATGCTGAGAAAATAAGTCTAGTTTAATAAAACGCGTTATTAGTGTGCACTCAACCATGATCATAGCTGATCAGGAACGTCACGATTATGCTATATCCAAAGAGGTTTAAATTCTGGTGCCAATTAGACCGATCTCTTACATGAGCCACCACACGGCTCTCCGAAGTCAGTGCTACACATTTACCAATAATGTTTTTGGTACTTAGGTTAAATGGTGGACTTAACCAACACCTTTTGTTTCCTTCCAAACAGCATTCAATTTGCTGATTTTCTTGTTCTGTCGTCTTAATATAGTACTGAAACTGTGAGCATTAATGAAATGTTGGACTTGTGAAAATTACTTGTTCCAAGGTTCTATAGGTAAGATGTACTTGAGTGTTTGCTTTGTGTGCAACTTGACATTATAGACCATGTTAAACGTTGCCACGCGTGCCTCCAATCCAACATGAAATGTCATATGCTAACTTTTGTTTATTTATTTATTTATCTATTTATTTAATCTTATTTATTTATTTATCCATTTATTTATTTATTTATTTATTTATTTATTAAATTCTTAATGCACATATTTCATCTGCGGCCCAAGTAGAGGGTATAGCGATATTCATCCATCAGAAATTTTTATACCTGTAGACAATAAAAATGCGACAGCTGCACTGAAAACACTTTAACCTGCATGGCTCGAATATTGTCTCAACTTACGGATGTCACAACACAACGGGTAAGTCTGTATACCATGTTGTGGTTTCAGAAAGGCACATGTATAAAATGATATTTAAATCGCTGTAAATGTAAACAGGTAGATAGGTTACCTTTTTTTGTCATATGAAGGCATAACACAAACTACTGCAAAATTATAAGTCTAAATTTTATCCCCATTTCAACATTTAAATTAATAATAAAGATACCGAGATAGAATACTACATGTGTTCTTTGTATTGAGTGGCAAATGGTAGACTTTTGATGACGGTGAATTTCAACCAACCTGACACTATATACGCAAACTACTACACAATAGTCTCAATCTTATGCCAATTTTAACATTTAAAGTAATGATATGTAGTAAGGATACTACATGTATTATTATTATTATTATTACGGGATGGCAAATAGTAGACTTTAAATGACGGTGAATTTCGACCAACCTGACACTTATACCTAAGACTCACTCTTAGACATCTATCAAATTATGACAATACCTTTATAGAGAGCATTCATTTATAATGATGGTAATATGCTATCGTTTTAAGCATACTCCGGATATGTCTCTCAAGCTATAATGAGGACAAAGGATGTCTTTAGTATTTTCAGCTTGTCAGTGTCAAATGATGTTCTTCATTTCTATTTGTTTCTATAGTTCTGCACGTGCTTCTATGAAGGGAATCAGATTTCGACTGGAGTGACGGTGTCGTAATTGCGTATCACAAAGAGAAACTGATTGGTTGTGGCGTTTTTAATAAATTACTCAAATGTTTACAGTCGACCTATGAAAAGACTAGTTCATTAGGGTAATTTGTGTATTCTTTTTGAGAATTGTAACAAAAGAATAAGAAAACATCTTCCATTTCATTTCAAGTTGCCACTTGCAATTGATTCTATGAACCGCCAGTATATAAAAGTCTGATATTCATAACGTGAACGGATATGAATTTTAGATTCTGGAAAGTAAGCATCCAACAATTTCTTTTAAAATTAAAACCCAAATGTCAAAATGTGAAATGTCTACGGCGCCAGGGTTTAGCTCACACGTCCCATTGCTTTTATCCTTTATTAATATTTTCCATAACACGCAAAGTCGATCTTACATTCCCACAACAGCGCAATGGTTGTGGGTAAAACGTATTAGTTTTTATAAATGACCTTTTCTTATTTAATCCCGAGTTTCTTAATCTTAGTGCTTATGCACCTTTCAAAAAGAAACATTTCGACGTTTTGAATTTGCTCTTATTCAAACTTCCAAGAAAGCATTTGAAAAGAGAGAAAACATTTCTATCAAAAGCGCACTTAAGAAGACGTCTGGCTGTTAAAATACCTATAGACCGTCGACCTTTTAGCTGGCCGTGTTAGCGGTTAACGTCCCGGATGTTCGTACTTACGCGTTTACCTACAGATACAAATTAACCACACTTGTTACTTTGTAGTTGGCGAGGTGAATGGATTTCCTGAATGAAGTTATTTTAAGCTCGTTTTAAACAAAGAGACCAAAATGGCCCCAAATGTACAGTGATTACAAGCACTGGTAAACATAAGAACATCAAAATACAGTGAGAAGTTATTTTTGACAATGGAACAGTAAAAACGACACTTTATTCGCCTTTTTTTATGGTTGAACCCACTTTTGTTCAGGTAATATTAACAATATATACTTAAACCAATATGCGGCATATTCTAGTAGATTAAATATACAGATAAAGCATGCGGAAAAATGCTGTTTTGCTTTGTAAAATGTCAATAACCGGCAAATGTTACCCCCTGAACATGTCCTTTTTACCATGTTATACTAAACTTAAGTAAAATAGTTACCTTTCAATAAACAAATAGAATTGTTTGATATCTAAGTATAACTAAATGTGCACATATAAGTGATCAAAGTGCATTCCGTCCTCAATGAAAATGGGGTTTTACCTTATGAGAAATGAAATAGAATTAAGTCATCATATCTGACCACAAAACAGCGTGCCAAAAGCATTGCAGTGATTCTAAGAAACTGCAGAAACCGAAAAAGACATCGTAGGGTCTTTCCACAAAATTCATTTCAGTAAATGTTTGAAAAGTTTGTCGCCTGTTGCCGGGATTTACCGAAACAAATGATACTGATATGTTAATTTTTATGGTCAAATGTATTAAGTGACAAATTTTAATGTACTAATACCAAAATGGTATGGTGTAAGATCAGTATCAAGACATTTGCTAATACAAGTGAGCATTTACATCTAGATGGTCAGGTTAAGAACGGCTGGCCCTAGCATCTAGAAACCGTATTCGCAGAAAGTAATCTCAGAGTGACACACGAAATGGACTATCAGGGACTTGGAAGTGGGTCGTAATTAATGTTTTATGTCGCCACAAGCCTGCTTGTCACTCACATTTCCTTTTGTCATTTATAAATACTCTGTGTGGTAATCAGTGGTCGCTGTCACGCCGGCAGAAAACAATGTGAAGGAAGGTCAATCGCATTAGTAAGGTTACTATCAAAAGTATACATTGATTTTTTTGAAGAAAGACTCTAATACAAGAGACGCATTGGGAGGTGACCTCCGTTCCTTCCGTCATTGTAGTAACCACTGGTTACGTCGTACATGAAATGCTTATAAATGAAAGCATTACAGCAAACAAAAATTGCATGGCGGATGAAAAAAGCTTTGAAATACATCTAACGAGGCTTTATAATACACGTAGCTTTTCATTGTATTCAAAACGAAATACAATACATTGTCATGCCCAACTGAAAGGTTTTGCTCCTATAGTCCCCTATAGTGTATAACTTACAGTGGTTGCAACTGACCGGGAAGAGCTACTTAACTGCGGCTCATCTGAGGCCGGTTGTCCACTGTCCGGTCCAGTGCCTTGCTTAGCATCTTTTATTAAAGGCCCTGTCGATGCACTGCTTCGACTCTCAAGACTGAGACTTGGGTTGAAGGGGGTTCGGATGTTTTTGCCGATATTTGGGTTCAGAGCGGTGCCCGTTGGCGGTCCGCAGAACAGCTCGCGCAGAATGGTTCTGAACCTCACACCCACCAAGGCGTAGACGAAGAAATTCACTGCAGCGTTCAGAGCCACCAGCAGAAACAGTATCGGTAGGAAATACAAGTAGCCTTCCATGACGGATTTTGGAAAATGCTCACCGAATGTCATGATGATTTGTGACAAGAAAATGGGCGTGGTGCAAATCATGAAAATGACCACAACAATAATAAGGATGGCATTGATGCTATCTCGACCGGCTTTTCGTTTGCCCCAAAAACTCAGATTCTCGCCGGAGCGTTTCAGGGTCAAAATTAGGTTCCCATTCAGGACGGATATTATGGTGATGGGTGCAATGTACATGAAGACGTTCGTCAAGACGATCCGGTAGCTGAGCTTGAAGGCTAGGTCATTGTTGAGGATTGTCTTGTAACACATGTCGTCCGTTGTTGTTGTACAGTAAGTGATGCCGACGCACTGGACATCGAAGAACTTAGGCGCGTTGAAGGCCACTGCAAACAAATATACGCCAATTACCTGCACCTTCGTGTTCTTGATTTCGAACTTGTATTTGCTCATGGGTTTACATACGGCAATGAATCTGTGAATGCTCAGAAGAACCAACAGCCATGTTGACGTTGTGATGAATATGTAATGCAACGGATAAGTATATATACTAAAAGTCTGGAAAGCCCTGAAGTAGATGCCGGCATAACCAGTATACGGGTATATAAAGGGGATGGAAAATTCGACCAAAGTGTTCAGTAATATACAAAAATCGGACACAGCCAGAGCCTGGAGAATGAGAGATGTGGACGGTTTTTTCTTCTCGCGAAGGAACACGACGAAAGACAGAATGTTCCCCGATAGTCCGATGACGCACACCAGTCCGGTGATGCAAACTGTGACGATGAAAATGTACTTGTTTAAATTGCCCGGTTCTCTTTCGGAGGCGTTGGTGGCGTTCCAAAATGCGTTGCACACTCCTTGGTCTGTGCTATCTTCGGTAGAGTTCAGCATTATTATGCCTGCGATTTTCCTTGTCGTCGCCGAACTGTTTTTTTTCTGTAAGTCTCTCTACAAATGTAGAAAAACGTACAAGTTCTGACGTGGGTTTGTGCGAAAGGATGTTTTACTGAATGCGTTTGGCTCAGTCAGCTAAAGCCCGAACTTCTCACAGTAAAATGTTTGCAGTATGCGGTGCTGGATCTTAAATAGGATCAGCCCGCTCGGCTCCTTGTCCTTAGTAGGTTATTGGATCTGGTGGAAAAATACAAAACATCTTTGAGTCATAATTACTTTGGACTGACATGTCATTAGGAACAATGTGGCAAATGTGAATGCCATTTCCTTGTAAAGGATTGATGCTAATGTCTTGTTTGTACGCTGAACGTGTTTGGATACAAGTACGCAGCTTTAAAATGTCTCGAAGATCAAACTGTATACCTTCTTAAATTAATTAACGAATTCTGGGTAAATTACTGCCAGGGTTTTGCAAGTTATCATATTTGATTTGGACGCCTGCCATTGTTACTGTGTTACATATCTAATACGGCTTTTCTCCGTCGCTTTGAGGAAATGAATAACATCTTTAATTTCCGCGTTATTGCACTTTATTGTGTCACATACATTTTGTTTGGGGTAGCTCTCCATTCTAAACGCCATATTGTCGTTGAAAATATAGACTTTTGAGCAACGGCTAAAAATCCATTCAGGTTCAGTACAGATATTCTGTGTATTCAGTTGTGTACAGACAAGAGACACCACTTAAAAATACAAATATTACGATTGCTTTTAAACGGTGAAAAAGATCGCCATAACTAAATCGTCATCTTTTTTCATATATTAAACCGGCCAACGTGCCCAACTGAAGCTTTGAATTAGGAGAGCTCTAGCTGTATGTAAACTAGAACTAGTGGGAAATTTTCATTGCATGAAAGGATATCTCAGTTTATCTCCGTTGCACATCATGTGCTTTTGACCGTTGTTGCTCTTTTCTTTACTCTCGAGTACCGCGATGAGCCTTTGACCATAACATAGGACAGCTATGTGTTCACTGTCCCATTAATCACCGAATTACATACAATATTCAGACCGTTGGCTAAATAACGATCTATAACCGCTATCATTATTTATTTATTTATTTATTTATTTATTTATTTATTTATTTATTTATTTATTAAGATTTGATCTATCTAGTAAGGGGGATTGTGGATAAGGCATTAATTTTTCTTGTGATGGTAAAAAAATGAGGAATTAAAGCTCAAAAAGATTGTTCATCAGTACCCTGTAGTTATTTTACCAACTGTTTGGATAGGAACTATACCGTTAAAATAGCCAGGGCATGAGACGACCCCCCCCCCCCCCCCACACACACACACACACAGACACACAAAAATGGCTGAAATTTCCTAGGAATTTTTATTGCTATATTTGGGTCCATCGTACCTTGCATTAAGAATTTATAGATATTTTAAAACGTTTTTCAAATGTATATGCTTTTTTATGCTTTGTTTTTGGAGACTACAAATAGCTGCAGTTGAGCTACAATTTGTAGTCAGCATTTGAACCAATAAATGCAGTTCCATTCCAGCTTTGTAACTACAGTGCATTAAGGGCAAGTAACCGTCTTCACCTATTCCAACATGAATAAGTCTTTAATCAAGACGGTCGGACAATCAGTGATTTGTCTAAGTATATATCACATTAAAATCTTGGGGGGATCAAAACAGCAAAAAATGTTTCCTTTTTTCTAAAAATCTTGGTTTCTTGGCCGATTGAGACGAAATAAAAATCATCTTTAGATGACAGTAGGAAATGAGTTTTAGAAAGGAGAGCGGTGTTCCAAGGCACTTGAAACAAACACACTGTCCCAGCGGGTATTGATTGCTCATAATTCCAACCCAGCAAATGTCATTTCCCGTGAATTGGTACTGTAATGGCACAATAATGGGCTCTTTATCGGAGTCAAACGAAAACCATTTGGATTACGTGAACTGCTTTGCACTTATGGAATTGAAATGCATTTCGTAAATGAAACGTAAGGCTATTAGAAAAATAAGACATCGCAGATTTGTCCACATCAGTAATGTAGTCAAGTGTATAGTGTTTATGTTTGGTACTTGGTTATAGATGCATATAGCCATGCAATAACACCATGCGGCAAAACAGTTCTTTCCTGTTGAACAAGAAATAGAAATAGAGAATACCTACATAAAATTCTTTAAATATATGGTATGCGAAACAAGCTGGTACATGGTACTATCGTTTCCATTTATTTTCAAAATTTATTTCCTTGAATGCTATGGAATATTTATTCTTTAAATAATCTTTTCAATTTGTCGGCCTTGCAAGCTATCAGCAAGCTGATCCATCAGTCGCTTATCGATCTGTAACCTTTGATTATTGATTTTTACCTTTTGCCACCGTCTAGAGATTATCTTAATTCGATTCAAATGGCATATTATTTATGCATAAACGTCAAGACAACTTAAGATGCTTCATTCAACTGTTTACAGGAAATTGTTGAGCAAAACGGCCCTTGAGTGGCAATTAAGCCGATCGTTGTCAGAGGGTGAGACTGGCGCGGGCATCGAGTTGATCCCAGATGACGAGAGCAATGCATCACGTGACGGAATTGAGTCCCGGTCCGAATTCCACTTTAAAATTTGCAAATGTGATAGGGATGGAACGTTCCTTTCAAATTAATTTAAAAACAGACAGAAAAGTAAATTATGGAGTGAACCTTTATATTGTGCTTTGGTAACTGCCCCCGTATTGTTTAATGTCGACCTCCAAAATTTATGCATTTATGCCAGTACAAGTTGTATTCAGGTCAATATCTGATTTTTTTGTTGTCTCAAGCGATATGTCCTCTCCCCTATCCTCCTCTTATAATTGTTGGGCGGGAAAATGGTAATAACATTTAGTGTGTGTGTGTGTGTGTGTGTGTGTGTGTGTGTGTATTTGTGTAAATATGTCGATATATATATATATATATATATATATATATATATATATATATATATATTTTTTTTTTTTTTTGGAAGCATGTAACCCTTTGTGTTCGTTCATGGTGGTCTGTCTAGGTACATCTGTATGGATTCCAATCCTCTTTTGTTTTGAAGGTTTTTGAAGATTTTCTTTTTTAAGCTTGGGCTCATTCATTGATTTCAGATTCAGTGAAACTGGTTTCTCAATACCTGGTTCATTCTGATGCAAATATTCGCTTTGGGGGCCTTTAGTGGTATCAAAATGCGAGAAAGAAATGTCAAACACGACAAATGTCAATTTTGATGAAATACAAATACCTATTCAAGCACAATTAAGGACAAGAAATGCTTTCAAAGAAGTAAGGCGAAAAAAGAACTGAAATAGTTCCAATAAATAACAGCTAATTATAATATGTATATATAACCACAGTATATATGATGCAAAATAACACATCTCATGAAAAGAAGATTTTTTTTCATTTTAAACAACGAAGAACTTAATAAAAAATAAAGTTTCTAAAACAGTATTAACATGCCGTAACAAATTACAAAATCTAAAGATATGTGTCAACTTACCGTTTTAAAATTTGAATTCTAATTCTATTAAAGAGAAAAATATCCCACTGGTTCCTTCCGATAGAATTTGCTTTACATGGTAGCACGTGTAGCTTCTGTCCAGGTTCAGATAATAACGAATTAGTTGGACAAAGAAAAGTCTTTTTTCTTTTCTTTTTTTTTTTCTTTAGCGCAACCAGAAGAGTTGACATACTGTTCTTCTACGCGCACCATAGCCCAGGGTCAATTTTTTCAATTCATCAATTATCAATTATCAATTACCATTCATCAATTAATCCGCTGCTTTGAAATCACTCCCCCCCCCCCCCCCGCCCACTCCAACTGACCAGAACCCTGCGTTTTCAAAAGAGCTACCATTCTTACCAAGTAAAAATAAACAAAACTTGGCTACTAAACACTCACATTACCTGTCATACAGCAGATGAACTCTTCAAGAACAAAAATTTACTAGCTGGTGCTCTGCTGGTCTTCGTCTGTGGAAATGATTGTACGGGGCCCAGTGAGCCTTTTTAAATATCGCTCAAAGCTCTGATAATCCACAGAACATTCTCTTTTCCGAAATATAATCACGTCATAATCAGGTAACTAAATCCGCAAACGTGCTCGCTTGAGAGACGCTTTATTGTATCGTTTTTTCTTTGAATGCTAAATATGCGCGCGGTGCGCTAACTGAAAATAAAACGCCTATCTGCTCTGTCCGACATCTGCATATTTTATTCCCACGTGAGCATTACTCACGTTTTAGAAACACGAGAAAAATAGAGAGACCAAATGTTTAGACAACATGCGGCAATGCTTACTAAAACCTGAGTGAGATGGTTTTATGATGATTATTTAAACGTTGGTAAACAGGAGTGCTTTCCTAATGGGCATTTTTGTCTTGTACATGTATAAGGTTATAACATTAACTATATGCCCAATGTGTACAATTTGGGTTATTTGCAAAACATGGCAAAGCATTTTTTACTTCTTCGTAATTTTAGTTGTTGAGTTGAACACTGGTTACTCCTTATAGTGCTGATAAAATTTAATTATTAATTAAAGTAGAACTACACACATGCGGCTTAATGTACATAAACCATTTAGAAATTAAGAACCTTGCTTTTAAGGCAAGCGTTGATATAACCACAAAAGTGCAATTTTACATCTAATTGAAATATCCTGCATGTAGAAAAGCTTTTCCTTTACTCATTTAATATTTAATTAAAAGTCTTGGTAACCGTTGTGTTCCAATCTCACTGCATCGTGCTGTTTTCTCTCACGTTCATCACCCATTCCTGTTATGTGAGTCAATTACGTGTTTATGGCGAGTTGCTTATGGAGTCAAGTCAGACATTACATTTAGGTGCTATCAGCTTTTATTGCCACGCACAAAGAATGATTCCTAAAATGTATTTTTACTTTATTATTGTCAACGACTTCAAGTTCACTTTTCTACCCAGATGTTACGAAGTGGCTAACTACAATCCACACATAAACTAACAGGAATTATAATCCCGACCACCTGGACGAGAGATATGGTAGACGTTGGCGGTGACAAGCGGTTCATTACACATCTCGCGTTCAACTATTTCACACTTTGGTGATTGCATGCTTTCTGCTCACCGTCTGATCATTCCGTCTCATTTGTCCATCCATGGTTAACAAAACCGTTTCTCACTTAATTGACCATCCATTTCTGGCGAAGACACAATCGACGTTTGTCGAAATAAAATGAATCTATAATTTGCGTGCGAGCTCGACAGTAACACCTTTAAAGACGTCAGTTACGCTCAGCGTGGCCTATAAATAAATGTCGTCTGTTTGAGGTATCATAACGGATAGCTGATCGAGACCTATTGAAGACAGCTACTGACTTAAGAAACAGGAATACGATTAGCTTCCTGTTGCATTATTGCTGGGTAGTAGTTCAGAAAGAGATATACATCTGTTTTAATGACATCTGCTTTAGATCTCTCTATCATGCCACTTGCATTCAAAACTGCAGCTGTTGAAAGAATTGACAGCAATTTCTGCAGTCTACCACAAATACGGCCGTACAGTCATAACGTTTTTTTTTTTCACAAAATCTGTGAAGCGCCAAAGGATATGGTGCTTGGTCTTTAAGGTTAATGTAAAGCTATACTCGACATCTCTCGACAAATTGGTTCTGTTTGACCCTGATACCTCGATGCAACGCCGAGGCTTAAAGAATTAATGACGCTTGGGTGTCATCAGGGATTAACATCCCTTGGAATACTTTGAATTCGTCCGGCAATAAATAAGGCTAGGGTGATAAATATATCCGAATCCTCGTCCATTTCGTATATGTGACATGGTCCTGAGGTAAATGGCCCCTATTAAGAATTTTTTCTCGTTTGTCTCAGGTAATAGCCTGCCACTGGTCTATCTATATGTATAGACGTGATTATGTGATTGATGCACTGAAAAAAATGATAAATTTTCATTATACCGGGGATATAGTTACTGTGTTAAAAAAGAGGTTTATCTCCTTTGGATTGCTTCTTGAAGAAGCTCGGTCAGTTATGCCCTCTCTGGTGCTTAATCAAAACCATTAATGGTCATTTTATGGTCATCCGATGGATTTTATTTCTCTGTGTAGGTTCCATTATTAAACATTTACATTAAGGTGATATTAAGTTAATTGTGTTTGTCATGATTTGGGTCACGTTCCTATAAGTTCACATAGGTATACCGATAATTTTCCAAAATTTATAAAATATGGTATATTAGCTCATTGAAATAACTTTGAAAATAGTAAAAAAAAGATTATATATATCGAGACAGCAAAGCTGTAAAATGGACAGTAACATGAATGGTGACAACTATATAGGCGTAGTGAAATCAAAATTCATAAATGATCAATAATAATTTAACGAAAACAGTGTACATTTTCTTCAACTTTGATATGAATATGCACTGGTGTTAATGTAGACTTTCAAGCATGTATACATCACAGACTTCTACACTTCAAAAATGTGGAGATTGCAAAATTCATTAAGAAAACTTCAAACGTCGAAAATTATCCAGTGAGATTGGCCTTTTGAACTCGAACTGTGTTAAAATTATATATCATATCGATACATGTACATTTACTTTTGTCAATAATAAGTAACACTTTTTTCTTTTCTTGTGTTTACGAGAGGGAAGTGCACGATGACGGCGAAAACAGACGTAAGTGATGACATTATATCCAAACAAAGGGATTAGAATGAAATCAATAGCCCTGAAAGAGTGACGAACTAAAGAAAGAATATACATATACAAAAAGGGAAAGCGACACAATGAAACAGTTGACTTTATCAATGATTAAAGAGTTAATGCGGTCAAACAAACGCCATTTACTGTCTATTCGGTTACAAACATGTACCGACAGGTATACAAATGTACGAAGCACGTATCTTATTGAAACAACTCTTTCTAACTTATTTCCCCCCCCTACCCCAAACACACGCGTTTCTAATCCTTTTACAACTGACATTTATTATAACTGTCTACGCTTATCAAAATAGGTTAGCCACACACACACACACGCACGGGCACACGGGCACACACACACACACATGGGCACACACACACACACACATACACACACACACACATACACACACACTCACATGGACACACACACACATACACACACACACATGGGGGAGCGTGTGTGGGTTTGAGTTACAATGGAGAGATATCAAACCCTTTCTCCCGCAGGTCAGCATATGTCCTCTAAATGCGTCCAATACAAAAAATAATAATAATACCTAAAAGACAACAGGCTGTCTTTGATCTTTAAGCATGCGGTTTCCCTTTCTTATTCTTGGACACTTTCATATCTACATTTTAAGAAGCCTTCTTGTTGTTCATCCTTTCATCCTGAGAAAACCCGTTATTCGTTACGCACTCGGTGTTGATACATATGGCCTGCCTACGTGATAGTACAGTGTAATATCATAGTGATTGCTATCCTAATCACTTCTGTCTTACCTAAATTGTATGATACACGTAATTCCTCAATGCGTAATTCCGTTTTAATTTTCCTGTTTGATCAATAAGCATTTGTCACAATAATAATACTTTTCTGTGAAGTGCGAATTTTATTGATATGCTGTAGCCGTGTTCGGTGTATCGTGCTATTTGCAGTGAAGATAATCGCCTAAATCCTAGCTTATCGTTGGGAATGACCTGGTGATAAACATTTCTCAGAAAAGGTTGTTTTGGTAATGTTGTTTTGTACAATCCTCTTAAGATGAAAATCCAGCAAGGATGCTGGTATTTTGCTGGCTTTTTACATGTAACGCTGGTTAAGCGCTGGGCACGCCCTTCCCAACTCTCTCCCTCTCCCTCCTCTCTCTCTCTCTCTCTATTTCCCTTTCTCCCTCCTCTCTCTCTCTCTCTCTCTCTCTCTCTCCCCAACCCAGAGATCGTTAACTATCATGTGCAGTCAGTCCATTGGTCGTTTTAATTTGTACGCACACGCTGTACATTTGTACATGCATAGTGTTAATATTCATAAGTTTCAAAAGAGATTTATTTGCTTCGGAGAGTAATTGTGCATGCTTTTCATTTCTGATCAAGGAATTACATCAGATGTAATTTCTTCTGATTTACCTTGTAATTTGATATAACAATTGTGTTCTTTCGGTGTCGTTAATTGTAAGTTATTCACCTATTTTGATCATATTTTTCTTTCGAAAAGTCTCATCCTGTATATCTGCCTGTTTGTCTGTCCGTTGTCTATCTGTTTGTCTGTCGGTCAGTCTGTCTGAACTTCTATCGTCTGTCTGACAGTCTGTCTATTTGTCTGCCTGTCTATCTGTCTGTCTATCTGTCTTCCTGACAACAGGATTGCAACAAATAAGAGAAAACATGAATTTAATAGCGACGTGGATTCACGGCGTAATACAGCTCGATTCTTATGCCCAGTTATAGCTTACTTCTAAGTGCAATTAATAGCCCTCGCACCTTTTCTGTGTACCAGTGGTAGCTATGTCAGGTTATGTGATATCACATTGGATGAAGCAATAAAGTGACTTCCATGAATATACAGTATATTTATACAGGATAAGTATGAAGTTAATACACCGCATATCAATATAAGAGTTTGAATGTCAAATGCGGTTGGTGAGCGTTTTTTTTTTTAATGTGTGTATGTGTGTGTGCAACTTGTTTTGGCTAGAATACAGCCATAATGTAATAATGAAAAAAACTTTTCTGGACTTGTAATTGATGACAATTTTGATCTCTTTCTATATTTTTGCTACTAAGAATGCTTAAGCATTGCAAGCGAATATATCAAATGTCCACATCCTGTTTGGTTCCCACTGACGGTAATCTTGGCTTCCTACAGTATATACCCCTTTAGCGTACAGCTGAAATGAAAGGTTTATGGTCAAACAAAAAATGGACAAGTAAACTGACCTTTTAGACGGCTGGAACCTTGTTTTCTAGAACATCCCCTTTCCCTTCTCTGGCCACTGGTTATCCAGAAGTCAGATATTTATGACAGACAGTACAGTGGATTCACGCAAATGTCAGGCAAACCATCCCAAAGTACTGTCAATGCAAACGATAGTCCCACAGGAACAGAGTAATACCTGCTTTCCAAATCTTATCCTGCCCCCAGGTTGAAGACAAAGGACACCAAAAAGTCAAGCGTCAAACCTGCATTAAATATGTAACATTATATTCCCTTGTTCTTGGAGGAATTCATTAGACTTGTAATATGTACAATGAGGTTTTTGTTGTTTTTCTTTTTTCCTTTTATTTCATCAAACCACAGACAACTGATTTCCCGATGAATATTTGACAAAACAAAAAAGTAACTGTGATTTAATTAAAAACTATGATAAGACCTAGTTTTGAACTGTAAAAGCGCATACTTTCCAGCAATTTGACATTTATTTTTAACAATAAAGTTCCAAATGCTACCCCGCCCCCCGACACACCCACTTTTTTATCTTTTTATTTTTCATCACGATGCTGAACACGACTTTGAGATTAATTTTTTTCATTTTTTAACAGCGGACGTGTGCCACTTTCACGTTAATGACACAGTAGCTGCATATTTTGGATGGTGTCATGCCTTCAACGAATAGATCAGCTGCCTCTTCGTCAACCAAGCTTGATTTATGTTTCTTCAGATGAAATATCACCCAACAGCTAGCAAAAGAAATGTGGACTTGCGGCTATAGATCCACAACACACTCGGGTCAATCGGGTTCGTTTCAGAGAACCTGCATGAAGAACCTAGTTGCAGATGGCTTAGGGAGACAAAGAGCCTGCCTCTACAGTTTTATTCCACCTATAAAAAGGCTCTGGGTTACAGGGAAGTGGCAATTACTTTTTCTTATTGCGCGTTAAATGGAAAGGACAATGATCTTACCTGTACATCGCCTGAACATTGTCACTTCATGGTTTGATTTTCTATATGGCATATTTCAAAGATACTACCACATGGTTCAGTGAGATCAGGATATATAACTATTTATAATTGGTGGCTGATAGTGGCCATTTGTTAATTATGTATTTTTTATATTGCATTTCTTGTTTTTCTCCGTAGAAAGCTCATCTTATCACGGCACATTTTAATGGTCTCCATATATTTTAATTTCCTATTTTTAATTCAATTCAATCTATAACTAGTGTACTTGCTTAGTTAACGATGTAAATAGACACGAAAAAAACATTAATCCCACTACCCAGCCTCCCCCCTTTCCCTGAAACACGCATGGCTCGCTTGTGTCCCAAGTTAGTTACAAGTTATTATAAGTTATTATAAGATCTGTACCTAGTAGCTGAACCGCCCACAACCCTCTCTCTGATAAAACGACGTGTGTGACTGTCTCCTGGCGAGAGTGGAGACCTTTTTGCATTAAAATTAACGGAAAATGACTGTGTTAATATCAAATTTGAACATTAAATAAAAAACTATCTGAAGTTACAACATTTTTTTGTTACCACCAGCACTGCATGACTTGGTAAAACTGCCTTGTTTACTATGATATTTGAACTTAATTATGTTTTCCAATGGACCTATTTTTATTATTATACCTTTTTAATTTATCAGGGAGTGGCGCCTAGAGAACAAATGGAGGTGAGCACTGCCCTTGCCTTCCTTTTTTAATTCCTGGACACCGTTCACTCACTTGACTTAACCGAATTTTTTTTAATGCCGGAATTTAAAATTATATGTTTCAAACATTTTCCTCGCCAGGGCCGTTACCCCCAGAGTGTGAGAGAGCAAACACTGATAAAGCGGCAATGCAGAGGTGAAATATTGGCAGCAACTGGAACGTGTTCCTGCAACTTGGTAACCGCAACTTCTTAGCTGGCCCTAGTCAAGGCGTCCCGATCCTTGTATCAAAGGCCCATAAATGCTTCCAGAGGTGCACTTCTTGGACCGCTGAATGAGGCGAGCTTTAATAAGAGATGTCATCCGTAACCATGCTCCCCCAGGGTCTGAGTCAAATAACGTTAGCAGCAGTAGCGGTAGAAGGAAAAGGAATGAGCGAGAGAGAGAGAGAGATCAAATGGAAAAGTAGAAAAGAAGCCAGATACATCAACATTGCAATGCTGAAAGCTTCTAAATGCAAACAGATAACGAAATCTATATTCATATTTCAGCAATACATAATGTGAAATTTAAGTAAACTTCATGTAATATTAGTTCATATTTGCTAAATGTGCTTCATCAACTTTGATCAAAAACGAGGCACATGATTGCCCCAACGTATCAGTTACTATAGCGGTAGAACAGTTTTAGTTTTCTCTTAACTGAATAAATATATATACTTTTTTTTTGCAAAATTTCTCCCATTTTTTCTAGAAATTTTCTGGTTTCCCACAAAAATGAACATCACAGTCCGGTTGGTCATTATTTTTGAATGACGCAAAATATTTTTTTTTCACTTCAAGGGTTTTCTTTCAACTGCAAGAGGCCTTGTCAAATTAATTTATACCGTGCAAATTTTTGTGACAGCTGGTTACGCCAAACGTTATGAAGTGTTAATTCTAACCTTACCCGGCCATTTAAAAGGTCAATGTTAAATGGGCCGAATAAATAGAAAACGCTTCTCGCAAAACAATTTCGACACTTTTCGCCAGGGAAGCGGGGCAGAACGATGCCGATCCAAACTCTCGGCTCGTGTGTGGTGCTTCTTCTTTTTCTGGTCACCGTCGCTGCAGGACTTAAAGAAAACAGAACAAAGCTTGGTAAGAACTCGTTTCAAGGTGAGAGAAAGGATCCATTTATCATAGGTATAAACTGATGGAAAACCGACCAGGTGAAACCAGTTATTGTTTGTAGAAACTGTTGCGTTTTGACCGTGGTGATTATGGTAACAATTTATTGTTATGAAGAACCCCAAATGAAGTCTATTTCTCAATTTCAAAAAAAATAAAAAATCAATTATAGCATTGTAATTCTTTTGTGAACTGTCATATTTCATATAAATTATTTTAAAATCTTTTTTTATCTAATATTTGGGGGTGTGCAGGTCTCTGTTCTAGTAAAAATGAAGGTTATGATACATGTAATATCATCGTTTTTCTTTACCCCCCACCTCTCTCTCTCTCTCTCTCTCTCTCTCTCCCTCCCTCCTAAGTGACCAGTTTAAACATACTAACTCCCCTTGAAAAGAATGAGTCTGCTCACCCTTAGATCCGTACAGGGTAGGGCTAGCGTGACGTAATTTGGTCAAAATCAAGGGAATCGGACTCTCTCTGACATGAGGCCTTTTGATCATCTTTTTATTAAAAATATACTGTATCTTTACCGACCTAATCTTGATGCTGTTATTGTTAACAAGAGAAAATTGGTCGATTGCTGAAAATGAGGGTTTTTTCGCAGCGATTTTTTCTTTTTATCTTCTCTTTTTAATTCAAAAGATTAAAATATAAAAATAATCTTACAGTGACAACTACACGTATGATTTTCAGGGAACAGCGAAATGACCAGTATGAAGAGTACCGCGGTACCAGAAGACATACAATCCCTGTACAACCTGTCCCGCCTTCACCACGACTACATACTGGAGCACCGCCACTGGCTGCTGGAGCTGGAAACCAACCTCGGCGAGGAACGCCAGAAACGCTTGAATCTGACCTGTAGGGCTGACAAGGATCTCGTCACGCAATATCGGAAAATAACCCAGCTGGATCTAGCCCTCAGGAATTTAAAACAAACGATCAGAAACGAGTTAGAAGAGAGCAAGAAACATATTAAAAAGGTAGAAAATGAGACAGCGCAACTACGGAGGTTGTATTTCGAAGAGGAGAAAGTCCACAAAAACGCCTCCTCGGACTTTGAAAGCGTCATTTTGGAGCAGCAGAAACAGATCGCGGCACTCGAGCAGTTGCTGTATGACATTGGGGAGGAACTTAGCAAAGAAATCGAAACGAAGGGATTAAAGAGTAAGTTTAACGCTATAAACGAGGTCTTACCACCAACGACGACGATGCAGCCACCGCCCCTGCTGAATCCTAGTCAGAACGCGCATGTGGCGGCTCACAGCGGCAACGGATTGCCTTCAGTGAATCGTCAGACAGAGCAAGCGCTGCGCTTAACCAATCTCCAAAAATCTCTTCTAGAGGAACGCGCAAGGCGCATCAATTTAACTCTGATCGTTCAAAAGCAAGAACAGCGCATCATACAGCTAGAAAACTACATTTCTAAATCCAAACCAAGATTTTCGTTCGGAAACAATTTTCGCTTTCTCGATTCTCAGCAGAACATCAACAGACCTGGTAAAGGGGATCACGTGAAATGTGAGCAGCAAGAGAACCGTATTGACCAACTGGAAGCAGTGTTAGCGGCCGAAAAAAGCAGCCATGAATCAAAGAGTAAACAGGTTACTTAATTTGACAATCTTTAACTAGGTTCGATATATCACTTCTATACATCCATCTGCCCCTGCCCCCAAATTACTTTATTAATTATATAGCATCATTAAGTGAAAATCTACAATAATGATAAGTTAGACTTAAATACGTCTTCCCGGAAAAAAATAGTTTCCATAGTCCTAGAACAAATATCTTTGCAAATAAAATATATTTTGACAATCATTTTAACAATTCCATTACATTCTTAATATTGATATTAATGTCTATGATATTTTTTACCCAGTTGCCCCGCCCCCTTCGGGCTTTCCTAATAATGAAGCATCGCGTAATGAAAAATTAATTAGATTTCTTTCTCCCAGCTGAACAAAATATACCTTTGACATTTTGTAAATGAAAAATAGAATTCACATTCTCTGCACTAAATGTCACGGACGACATGAAATGTATAAAAAAATAAAAATTGTGATTTTCTTCAACATTTCTTTACAGTTGGCAGAATTGTCCAAAGCCTTGACAAGAGAAGTAGAGCAGCGATCCAGAGCTGAAGAACAATTTCAGTCAGCTTTGCAAGGTGAATTGAATCAGTCACGCCAAGTGAGAGAGGGAGGATTTCTTTATGAAGAATCGAAAGAAAGCAAGGTTACAAAGAAAGAGAGAGATGGGGGGGGGGGGGGGCTATTTTTGTGAATAATCAAATGAAAGCAAGATTACAAAGAGAGTAGGGAGGGGGATTTCTTTGTGAACGATCAAAACAAAACAATGATATTTAGTGGAGGTGCAGAAGTGGAGGTGCAGAATGTTGTTTTTCTCCTTCTTATCGCCTTCTTTCGCTCCACTGAGAGCATGCTTCGACAATATTTCTCCAACAGACCGTAATCTGATGTGTCCCACTTAATTCTATCCGAAGAATGATTTTTCAACCTGACTTTAACAAGTAAATAGTTCGCAGAATTACGAAAATATAATATGATAAGTGTTTTAAGAGAAAGCTTAACCGACCCTGATAAACGATCAGCCTAAACTTGTCATTCCAGCGTTGAACAAGCACAAATTCGTGGATGTGTATGCTGAAGGAATGGGGCTAGACGATACGCAGGGTCTCACCAAACAAGCTTTTGCAAAAGTATGTATATTTGTTTGATGTGTGGCCCACAGTGCGAGCAGCAATTACTCTTTCTAAATCAAAAAATGATTTTAAAAATTTTTAAGCAGGCGCATGCAGATGATACACTTTGCTCGTACTCAAAACGCTACTTTAATGTTTCATAAGCCTTTATTGTAGAATACGAACATAAAGCTGCGCAAATATTTTGTCCGGTAAATAATAACATTTTTATCCTTTTACCTTATATTGAAAGGAAATAGAAAATGAAAGGATAAAATGTCCTTAGTAACAAAATGTCATAAGGGGGGGGGGGGGTTGCTGTAAATACATACATGTCATCTGCATGATGGTTAAATTATGCGGTGTTCAGAATGGAAGTAATCTTCCTAGCAGGATCGATCTATCTCAGTCAATGTAATCAGCTTAATATCCTGGCACGCCCCCTCGCAAAGCAACGTGAATAACATCATGGACCACAAAGTTTTCCCAACAAGTTCTTTAAGGGGGCGTGCCAGACAATTAATCTGATCACATTGACTGCGCCTTAGCGAAAATCCCCGCTGATAACCTCTATTTTGAACACAGCCTCAGATCATGTGTATTTCTACAGGTTAACGGAAGGATGTACTCCAACCGCTTCAACCGCGGGTTCAACTTTCTGGTCCTTAACGGCACCTCAGGGGCCAAAATGGCGCACGTGTGCTTCGATCCCTTTGGCAAACCAGACGAAGACAACGCATTGTTCCACTACGTGAAAAATAGTATACCGTTTGGGTGAGTTCTGTTAAAAAGTAATAAAAAATATTCAAGGAGAGTACGCTTGCATGCCATGTGGTTTGCGTTCATTGAATGAGCTTGGTTTTTCGATTTTTGTTTCTCTCTTCATGCAGTAGAAATTCGTATAACGAGCTGCTTGGGAAGCTGATACATATTTGATCAATCCTCGCCTTGACATTTGAAACAGATCTAACAAAAAATTCAAAGTACAAACGAGAATAACGCTTGGTCATATTTTAAGTGGTAACTTTATTAAGTATAACATATGACCTTTATTTGAAAGGAGCGTCGTCGCTAACATCGAGTGTGCACATTTCAAACCAATTAACGACTTAATCCAATCAATGAACACGAGGACATTAATGGCAATTAAACACCTGGCTTTTAAGTTAAAATTAAATACAATTCTTGATCATTTCAGTGCTATAGTGGTGGTGTTTACCTTTGATGAAGCTTCTAAAAATTCGGTAATGGCCAAGGAGGCGTTAAAAATGCTTGGAGCGTCCGATGTGAATCTGGCTTACAGAGGTCTGTCATTTTTTAAAGTCGGAACTAATCTTTTTCAATATACATTTCTCACTGACACGTTGCTATTGCATGCTGTCGGTTGTCGTAATTGTCCCAAATTATACATGTCAAAAAAAAAAGGAATGGATAAAATAGATACTGGAGAGGGAAATATCACATTTTACAGTTACACTCAGATGATTGTATTCATAATGTGACGTCAATGTCACAGCAATATACGTGTATGCTGCTGTGGGCAATAGATTTAATTTACCCTTGACACCATACTATTTCCCAGAACATACGTCACGGGTAGAGATGATATCCCTGCATTCAATCTGTGTAGAATGTTATTTGGGTGTACAAAAGATCCTTTTGCAATATTAATTGCACATATTCCGAGGATACACGTGTATATCTGCATGTACTGCGTCTAGTGGTGTAAAGAGGTATAAAGAGATTGACTAAAGAAATGTAAGTTACATTGGTATTTGTGACGATGATGTTTATGAGAATGTATATATCTTTCAGATGCCTTTGCCATGCTGGGGTTCAGAGGTCACTACAAACCCCACTGGGTCCAGCAAAGCCTGGCCAAGAGACACCATGGTCCAGCGGTGGTCAACTCCAGGATACCGCTCATCTACTAGCCTACTGGTCTACTGGTCAGGGACTCGTTTGTTGACTGTCAGCGGACTAATGGCACTGCTTCCCGGAGAACAGATTTTCATGTATCACCTACGGGAATAGCGAATTTGCGTTATGGTCTATGCAAATAAGAACTCGGAGAACAAATTTGCATCATCACCTTTGCGGTAAAGGCGCTTGAGAACAAATTTACATGTATCCCCTATGCGAAAAAGAATGTTAACGGTACTTTGATACACAATCATGCGTTTTTTCTTTCGCTGTATGCATAGTTCCAATTACTCTCCAGCTGTGCAAAGGGACGATTGCATTGCATCAGATGTGCGGCACATTGCAGCACAATTTCAGCTCGGGCAGAATGGATACATGATATCAGTGAAATCAATGCATCAGTTGCGACTGCGCTGGATGACGCGTGTGGCGAAGCACCACGATGATAAACTTTGAAATTTTCTGAAATAAAATATGAACTCAAACATAAATGGCCAAGATGTTGATTTCTCATAAAGCTGAAGCCCTCAAAAAAAAAAAAAAAAAAAAAAAAAAAAAAAAAAAAAAAAAATAAATAAATAAATTATATATATATATATATATATAATCAATAACATAAAATAAATAAAAACATCCCAAAGATGTAATTGTAAAGTTAAACTAATGTGCCACATACCGATATATTCCTTTGAACACGTTACGGTTCTGTACCGCAATCCCTGGTCTCTGAGAACCCATGACGTCTATTTCTCTCGAATATAGCAGAATCCTTTTACAGCATCAGTTTCCCCTAAATCCCCATATTCAGTTCACAACTCAAAGTGAACTCAAAGTACATAAGATTGAAAACAAGTTTATTTACACGTGACTGGTATAGTGATTCGTTTAGCCCCAGTTTCGAACTCAGCTCATGCTGCGAGTGATTTTATACACTTATGAGAATCTATGTGTGTATGCGTGTGTGCATGTTTTTATGCGTGGACTGCACTGTACATAAACGTATGTTCAGTTTGAGAAAGAGAAGCTAGGGGAATCGTGTACCTATAATGATATGTCAGGATTACATGCGTGCACGGTGTCACAAGCTGACAAGGTTTAGATAACAGGCAAGTCCCACGTTTTCAATACATAACATACTCATCATTCTATGTCTGAAGACGATGGCGATATTTGGACTGCTTAATAAACATGAACTCTTCCACATCACCTGTATTGAGAACACCCCTCTCCGTATGACACTAATTTGTCTTAATAACATTTCGCGAGGCAGTCATTTGCGGTGGCATATGTCAGTCTAAGATCTTCTTTTAACCGAACTTGACAGAATCAGAGGTAGACGTTAAGGATTAATGTTATAAAAATGCACGTCTCTGATGTTTCGCCCTCCTTTAAAAATGTGTTGGAAATATTGCTACTCGTTGATATCCTCAATATAGGACTTAATTGTCTCAGACAAAGGTAGATAGAGTTATATCTCCCCGTTTGCTGGGTGTAGATGTTTTTCGTACGAATTTAATATTTTTAGTACGAATTTAATACCGGGATCAATTGGATTCTGAGTTTTTCATTTTCATATTTACCATTTGGTAAACTTTGCTTTCATTTTTATCGAAGGCAAACACTCCCTTTTGATTGATGTTTTAATCAGTCTATGAATTAATTTGTCAAAATAAAAGTTTGTCAGATTATTAGTTAATAAAACTGCCCCTCAATCATGTCAAAAAATAATACAACATGTACTAAACATTACACCAAAGGTACTGTCCACTTTCTAGAGAAAAATCTTAGGGCTGACAGAGACACCTGTCACTGGCATAATCAAAGACAGCAATTTCAAGCAGAGGCATTTATGATAAATATGTTTCTTGTATTAGGCAGCATCTAATCATTGTTAATCCGTGTTGTTATATCCCTAAAAAGCCACAACTTATAAAACAATTCATTCAGATTCAGTGCATGCGACCCATATGTCAGTTCACTTTCGACTGTGTTTTGCATATTCCAGAACACAGCTTAATTCATTTACCACCATAAAGTGCCTTTGGATAAATGAAAAATTTTGACCATGTTATACCGGGTACATACAGTGTAACTTTAACGTAAATAGGCATTAAACTGACGTAAGTTTGGCGTAAGTCTCTGTATATAGCAGAGCTTGACTGTTTTCACATTTAAATTTTAATTATATGAACGTTCCTACAAGTATGATAAAAAATAACATGGTATGAATTGCATGTCGTATATAAAACCCGCCCGGTAAAATAAATAATATAATTTCGTGAAATAATTCCCAGCTTTTAGCGTCATTCTTTCTTAATTCAATCAACATAAAATAACTGTTCTGTTCGTTACTGTTCGTGTGTCATATATTACTTTTCTTACCAGAACCAGTGATACAATCCAACTAATTCAAATCATTATTTTATCTGAAATTCCCAAATTTTTTCCCCGAAAGCGCGTCGGCCCGTAGGCAGGTGTAACACGCTATTTACATAACAGCTTTCATGATACGCATCACAATAAACACATCATGGTTTAATACAAATAATGACCGGTGCACCGGAGCTCTGATTCCAATTTTATTACCGCTTGTTACAAATCAGTATAAATATTGATTTGTTTTTATGTAATTTTAGAACAAACCGGTTCAGCGCTTTGATTTTGGGAGTGAACACAGTGCCTCGTTATGCCGCTTAATTCGCTTAATCCTTTAATTCACGTTTCGCATATTTATTATAATATTGTGATATCACTCTAGCGATTCCCATGTGCCAATATTATGCAAGTTCAGTTTTAGGTGATATTCATAACTATGTTTGCGTAAGTAATCGAAACTAGGGCCCTAACCGTCTCACAACGTGTGTGTATACTGTGCTTACACAATAATATCATAATTATCTATAGAAATGGACAGAGCCTCTGTTAGAAATCGATCGCCGGTGACCTTCTTGCCTGCGTGCTTTTATATCGCCGGGTAAAGGAAGCGTTCTCTTATTTTGAAATACCTGGGGATGAACTGAAAATCAATTGACTAAGATTTGAATGGCGTTTTGTGCTTTTTTTATTTGCGCAGTAAGATAATTCGTTGCAAAGGTCTTCGAAATTTTCATTTATCCACAGGCTTAATAAAGAGTAGGAAATATCTGACCACGAAACTCCCATCGACTGAAAACTGCTTGGTAATCAAGAAAAGTGAAATGTGATCTCACGTGGCCGATTTTTAGGAAATTGTGAAAGTGTCATTTCAAATAGTCGATTCGTTCGATTTAACATGCTAATTCTTGGGATTTCTAAGGGTAGCAATGTCCTCTGTGTGTGTGTGTGTGTGTGTGTGTGTGTGTGTGTGTACAGGGGTCAAATATGATTTTATAGTGAACATTTACGTGATCGATCTTACTTTAAATGAAGCACATGTTTGAGCTATTTGTGTTTTCATGCTCTTTTTATTTATTTTTGTCTTTGCTCTTCTACAAGTGAACATTGATGTCACGGTATGGGTACACTGTTTCAAATCCATTCATTAAATTAAAAGATATATTCATTCATTAGTTAAAAAAGATAGATAGATAGATCTGCTCTAAATGGTTTTGATTTTTGGAATTAAGTAATTTTTAAAATGTTACTTTAAAAAAAAGTCATACTAACAAAATCAAGGTCACTTAATTACCCTGGAAAATATTTACCAAATATATGTGCCAGATAAATCAATGTGTCAAAGCACTGAGGACGGTCCTGCTCAACACCCCAGTGTGAAGTGGCTTGTGACCAACACATTTACATATCGGGGGTCAACCGGGTACAAATCTCAATAAAAGAACAATAAGGATTTCCCAAGTATGATTGTGTATGATTTTGAAATATAAAAAATGCTACTTTTTTCAATTTTTAAAAGACCAAAATTGTACTTATCACTGATATTTCGTCCACTTTGATTAATATAAGTAATTTTTTTATCAATTTAGTATACATACGGAGTACTTGTTTGTAACATTTTTATAAACCCCCTCTTTTCAGCTCATCTCAATCTATTTTAATAGACCCCTTTTTACTTTCATTTATGTTTTTAAATTAATTTTAACTAATCTTATTTCCATACACTCATATATTTATATATTTATTTATCTATTTATTTATTTTGTAAAGCACCAAGATGCCAGTGTCTAATACATAAACCTGGGATATAATACTGGAGTTGATATATATAAGAAAAGGAGGTTGACAGTTAACAAAGGAAGAACATTGTTATAGAATCATCTTTCCTCTATCAAAATGAACAATTACTTCACATCTGGTACACACATAAAACACAATTTTAAAATGTTCTGACCCACTTAAAGATTTATGCATTACATGGATAACCAAATAATATATATCATGGGATACGGAAGAGCGACCAAATTGCTACAGACCAAATAAGGCGTCAACTGTACATCTTACTAACAAAGAAAAGCGTAATTTATCACCATTAGCAAAAATTCAAATAAGCATATTTCATCACGTAGCCATATTTTCATTCATGTATTCTTTACCTCGGTATTATCGACACGTTGTGCTGATTTGAATATGAAACTGTGAGTAATGCCATGTTACCAGTAATTGGAAATTTGTTTCCGTGAGAGTTCAGGACATAATAACAATGGCAGCAAATCAGTGGCTTATCTGGGGAAGGCAGGCGGGTGAGGGGGGGGGGGGGTGAGAAGGGCAGCAGGCGCGTGACTGTCCCTTAGCACCCTCTTTAAACTAATAACTACTGTAGCGAAACGAGATAGAAAATATAACTTATTTTCCATCCTACATATCCTTCATAAAACGTTGTCCTTGACTAATGTTCTATGTTTTTAATAGTATAATCCACCCACCCTCCCCGTCCTATTAGCAAAAGCCGCCTATGAACATTGCTGAGTTATGTGACTATAATTGAACTTATAGCCTGACAAAGCCTGTCTTCCTAAGTTATCTCTGCAGTGATTCGTTCTTTTTGGAAAAAGTGCACAACGGAAAAATATTTTTA